CTGCTGTAATGTAAGCCCCAGAGATCACTAAATGCAGATACATAACAAGCAAATCCAGCCAGCACTTGGATCCAGAAGTGTCATCAGCTGCAGGAATCAGTGAAAATGTTTTCTTTACTAAAGTAAAACCCAGGAAGATAGCAACTGAACAGGAAAGAACAAAGGCAACAGTGAAGGATGCAACTTAATTGTCAAAAGTAATTTTAAGAACAGAAAATGTTTATTGTATCATCAATCATCAGAATGAATTTATACTGATATTTGTTTCTGAGCATACAAAATGTTCCAAAGACACCCTAGAAGTACCCCAATAATATGCCTAATATATATTAAGATGCCAGAGATTAATTCCTTAATTAAAACACAAACACACACACACACACACACACACACACACACACACACAGTATATGTGTCTTACCTGATAAAAATAAATCACATAACGAAGATTTTTGAAAATGAGTCTGGGGTTTCTAAGAACAGTGAAAGTATAGCTCTATAATATAATGCCGATAATTGTTCAGATGTTTAGACTAATAAGAACTGAGAAAGAAGCAAATTCACATTTGGGAAAAGAAAATTACTTGTGCTTCTTTTGTTAATGGCCTTTCAGTGTGACATCTGCATTTTAAAGAGCACAGCAGAAACTACCCCCTGCAGTTCTTTTATTCTCTTGGATTTTTCTACATCCTTGGAATTTCCTCACTTTGAAAAGTTTATAAAATTATAAGATCAAATTAACATTTATATAGTCTTGCCAAAGAGGAGGTCCATGTTCATTAGGTGGAATTATGGAAGACTACTGTGTTGGGGGTGGGAAGGGGTTAGGGAGAGAATGTGGTCCTGCTCTGTGTGCACATACGCACATGGGTGAATGCATATGCATGTAAAGTTATCTACCAAAACTTTATATTCAAATTTTTTTAAATTATACAGTAAGACTTATATGCCTTTCTTCAGTGATCCAGTGTTAATTGTTGAATTTATTTAATTTGGTTGAAAATAAGCTTAAACTCTATTATTGTATTAGAGACCTGGTGTATGAGGTGTGTGTGTGGGGGGGGGTTTCCTCAGGCCAGCCTGCACCATCTCACAATTGGGGACCCCTAAGTTCTACATTCTCACTGGCCAAAGACTTCTGTGTCCTGAACTCCAGGTCCCAGGCTGCTTCCGATATTGCCTTAGGTCTGCAATCCACCATGGATATGATGAATACTTTTAAATGTGCCTACTGAAGCCAGAAATGCCCAATAAAGGAGAAAGCCCAGCTTTTCAGCAGGCATCATGGAACCTGACTGGAGGCAGCCCAGAACCTGGTGTAGGCATTGCTAAGAGCTTCCTGAACAGCGGAAACAATTCCAGCTTTGATTTGGTGACTGTCCTCCAGTGAGCACAGGAAAGACGGCCCTGAGCAGTGAGACAGTGTTGCCTCCTCTCCCTTCCTGTCAGCTGTCGCTTCTGCTATCAGAGCGCCTGCCACTAACAGCCTCCCCGCTTGTGATCTGCTGTTTCCAGTCAGTGACCTGGGAAATCAGATGACCAGAGCTGTTAGAACTGGGTGTCAATGGAGAGCCGAGTGCTGAGAGATAGACAGAGATCATCTCCTACAGGAGAGCGGGCAGCAGGCTTCCTGGTAGCCGTTGATTCTCAGAGCTTTTCTTAACCAATTCCGTTCTTGACAGTCTCACAAAGCTGACCGCCACCTGCAAGGTGTTCCTGATGTATGGTACAGTGGAGAATGCACGAGAATGAAAGAGAGATATGAACCTTCTAGGGCAGGTGTCCAGCACCTAACCCGGGAACCTTCAGGCTCAATCTCTCTCTGTTCCACTTTCTCACTAGAAAAATGGGTATAAGCATATAGTCAGTGAAATATAATAAATTAAAAACTATAAACTGCTTTAGAATAGGCTATTATAAAAATAATGATATTTACAAAGAACTATAATTAGTTTTAAAGGTCTACAAACTACATCTGCGGGCCAAATCCAGCCTGCCTTTGTAAATAAATATTTAATGGAACACAGTCTTGCTCTCGTCTTCGTGGACTGTCCATGGCTTTTCTTATGCTACAATGGCAGCATTCAGCAGTTGCATCAGAGATCATCATATGGCCCACAAAGTTGAAATTATCCAATCCTATTTTTTTAAAATATATTTTTATTGATTTTTTACAGTGATGAAGAGAAAGGGATAGAGAGTTAGAAACATTGATGAGAGAGAATCATCGATCAGCTGCCTCTTGCACACCCCCTACTGGGGATGTGCCCGCAACCAAGGCAGATGCCCTTGACCGGAATCGAACCTGGGACCTTTCAGTCCGCAGGTGGACGCTCTATCCACTGAGCCAAACTGGTTTCAGCTATCCAGCCCTTTCCAACAAGTTTTTCTGATCTATCTTCTTAGGAGGTGTTTTATTTTCAAGCAAGTCAGGTTTCATTCCCCCCACACACACACATACAAAAAAAAAAAATCCAATTGCTTAATATGGCGTATTTCACCATGTAAACCATAAGTTTAACAGGAGACCTTCCATCATAATGTTATATTAGTAACATACAAGAAATGCATTACACAAGTTTTCTGCTTGTGAATCCATTACTGTGAACAGAAAAGTCCTTGGCATTATTTAATTTTAGAGGAACAATAAGCACAGAGCTGAGACTTATTTCTGATGTGCATTTTAAGGGGTGGGGGGATCAGTATTACATTATCCTTATTGTGCCTCACAGCAATGAGGGCCGCAAAGCTGCCCAAAGCTGTTGGTGCCAAACACACTGTGGGAGCTGCAAGATGAATCTAAATGACATCTCCAGTGTTTCCCCTTCCTAATCAGGCCTAAGCATCATGGGACATCCGGCAAACCAACAAGCAAAACTGGGTGCCCTCGTCACTCCCAGCCTGGCAGCACTGCTCTTTTAGAGCCAAAAGATGAGGCCCTTCGCTGTGACATAAACAGTCCTCTCTTCGATTGCTTACTTCTTCCCTGAGATGACATGCCCGTCTATGATCCTGAACCTCACCCCAGCGTGCACCTGACCATGCCACCTGTCACGGAAAGAAACGCCTCTTGTGATTCAATATAAAATGGACATGAGGGTAAGTGGCTCTAGAATATGCTTGTGTATTCTACCAAAGAGTTACAGGAATAGAATATTGTAACGTGTTTGTGAAAAACTGAAGACGTTTCATGGCCCATTCTCAACACCTAGGAGAAGGTGGCCCAGGGATTGACCTATCCCCAGTCTCTCTCAACTTTTCACCAAAGCAGACTGTTGGCACAGTTAATTACTGACTTCCTTACTTTGGCTTCAAGCCACTCCCTCTCTCTGACCCCCACCTTTTCTTTCTAGGCCCATTTCTCCCAGTCCTTATCCATTGACACCTCCTGTTTTCCTCTCTGTGGGCTCTGAAGTTGCTCTAGTGCTGAAAGATCTGATAAATGCCTTAGTGTCAATGTATTCCTCTCCTGTATAAAGAGGAGGCAGAGTGCTACAGAAGAGGAGCAAAGAATAGGTCAGTTCATACATACCATTAGAACTAAGATTAACCTTTTTTTAATATATATATTTTATTGTTTTTTTACAGAGAGGAAGAGAGAGGGATAGAGAGCCAGAAATATCAATGAGAGAGGAACATCGACCAGCTGCCTCCTGAACACCCACTACCGGAAACATGCCCGCAACCAAAGTACATGCCCTTGACAGGAATCAAACCTGGGACCTTTCAGTCCGCAGATCGATGCTCTATCCACTGAGCCAAACTGGTTTTGGCTGCACTTAATTCTAACAGGAAGGCATAACTATGATTCCTAATGCACAAATGAGAAAATCGACATGTGAAGAAGCCAAGTCATTTGCCAAGGTCTTATCAGGCCCTGTTGGTAAGCCTGGACTTTATAATATATTTTATTCATTATACTTAACTGTCCCTCAGGTTGATCAGTTACGTAAGAACTCTAAAACTCTCCTAATTTTGTATATATGGTGCAAACAACAAGGGCCCTCATATTGGTTGCACATTTACATAGCAGAGCTACAAATTCCACATCAATAAAATGGAGAATAAGACCTTTCTTTTCTTTCCTAGAATTGTGATAATCAAATATGAAAACAAGCATGAAATCCTGTCCAAACTAGGAGGCAAGGTACACATACAGTATAAGATGGATTATGTTGTATCCATTGTAAACCAGGACATTAGCCATCATTATTAACACACCAGAGTCAAATGTAAAGAAAGTAGCAATTATTTTGGTGAAGTATAGCTCTAAACTGGAATATTATAAACTATCCAGTCTGTTAGTAATACCTGACATATTGTAAAACCACCACTGATTAATCAATAAATATCATGCAACTGTTTCAGTAAAATGCACTCTCCAGGGTACTCCCCGATTCATTTATTAATCACCTTGCCTTATTTGATATGCTCCCAGCATCTGCCTGAGATATGTTACTCTCTAATTATATATTTATCCAAACTTTCTTTAAAAAATTGAAGGTTCAAACTATACATTCGCTATGACATCAAAAGATCAGGTGAGCCACTCCATTTTCAGTTTCCCTGACTCAACTTTTTGGAGTTTTTGTAATTAATTATATTCCATTGTTCCTGGTCATCAATTAACTCAAAAATGTTTCTGAGATGGTGAGTATGCTGAAGGAGGCGGAATTGAATGATAATTTGAGACTGGTAGGACACTAAATTTCTCTCTTGTAAATAATTAAAGTAGATAACGTATGCCTTTATTTATAGCTTCCAGAAATATCCGGCTCGTTCCTGAGCACTGCCCTGTCAGCTAATCATCATTGGTCAGGACCTGACGTGGGCCACTGTGCTTTACTCTCCAGGCCCACCTCCCCCTGAAGCCATCCAACGCAGCCCCCCCCAAAAAAAAGTTAAAGAGGCCACCACAGCATCTCTGGAACTCTCCACCCAGCCAAATGTTTTGATGCATAAAAATGTAAAGGATGAAAAGGGGTAAAATGTCAGTTTACCTGTTTCAATCTCCCAGATGTAAACGGAGTCATCTGCACACCCAACAATTAAAAAGTTCTCCACCGGGTGCCACTTGATCACCTTCACCGGAAAGAGGTGCTTCCGGGCACAGAAGAGGAACCGCTTCTCCTCCAGGTGGAGGAGGGCCACGGAGTGGTCGCCGCACACACAGAAAACCACCTGGTTACTCCTCAGCTGTGGGGGGAGCAAACAGGCAACATCCTTTGTAACTAAACAGCCAAATGCTTCCTTGAACATCGATTCAGACCTTCCCCCTGCTAATGCAACATGTTTATGAAAGCCCCATTAGTAAAAAGACACTCTACAGCCCCCCTCCACCTAACACGCTAGAGGAGAGCTTTAGACACCTCGTAGATTTTAAACCCAACACCCTCTCTCGGGAAGGTCAAGAGATGCAAATAAAAAGGAGAATTCCAGGCCAGATCCACTTGTAAGAAAAATGAAGGACTTGACCATCACTCAGCAAATTCAGGCAGTGTGAGACCAACATCGGAAATAATGCAGAGTGAAATAAACCCCAGAGCTCATTTGTTGCCACAAAAAGAAGCTATTTGTAGACACAAACTTAGGCCCAAGGGTATCATGTGCTGGTATTTTCCACTTAAAGCCTCAAAATGTGATTTGGTGCTGTTCCCAGAACTATACAGATTCTAATCCAAACAGGAAACTCAGTGTGGACACAATTTAAAAGAAGTCAGCATGAGATAGTTCCCAATTAATGTTCCCTCTCAAAGACACAAGGACCAAAAATAGGCTCATAAGGATAAAGGTTCTTAAGATACTTTGGAAAAAGTCAGCACAGTTTAGGTCAAATGGCATCCATGCTGTTGATACTGAAGGTAATCAAGGAGGAGTTTATTGTAGCTCTCTGTGTGCCTTCCCACCACTCATAGGATAGTCAGACCATAGATGCAGGTGGGGTGTGGCGGGTGGGGCAGGAGGAAAGCAGGTAGTGGCTTTTCTACCTTCTGTTTCTTTTCTCATCGCCTTGCTATATGGATGTTCTCACTTTCACAAAGGCAACTAGCCAGTTTCAGCTGCTATGTTTAAAGCATCAGTTGGGATACCTTGAAAATCTCCCAGTGCCCATCATTGATCACATTCAATGGGGCCTTGGGGAGCACATTCTTTTTAAGGAGAATACAGAAATCCTGAGGGAAACAAAGTCCCACAGTGTCAGGTGAATAGATGGGGAGAGCCTGGACTTGAGAATGGAGAAGATGGCATTGCCTCCCCCATATTACTTCCTGGAGAATGTGCACAGCCCACAGCCTCTAGAATGGACAGCCCGATGTACTTCAGATAAAAACATACAAATGTAAACATTAGGCCAATAAGAATCTTTTCTCCAGGCATTTGAATTGTAAAGCTAAAAGAAGGCATAGGGAGAAGCAAGAGGAATGAGCAATCACAGAAAAGTAAACTTCTGAGGTACGGAGACTTGAGGAGTAACCTTGGTTTCTGTATTTCAATCCAAGTTCCACCAGGGCCTTCCTGTAGTGTTTCATATTGTATGTATAACGATTGCCTCTTATGCCCTTTCAGTAACCTCCCTTGTTAATTTGACTTGGTTTGAATGGGTTCTGATCCTTAGAGTTAAATTATCTCTGAGGGAAGCAGAGGTAAAAGGGGTCAGGAGAGGAACTGACTTGGGCTACCATGCTGGAGCTGAGGGAAAAAATAGTTTAAAAAAAGGAAATAAAAGATATAGCAAGATATCCCAAATCAGCACATGGAAGTTTATTATTTTAAGTCAATTAGCTTTATTTCAATGTTTTATTAAATTATTTGTATTGCTGAAATATTGCTTTATTTATGTCTATTAAAAAGCACAGTGTAAGTTTTGTCCAAGTTTACTTAAAGATGATTTTTTATAATCTTACTACAAAGAAATAATTTTTTACATGCCAATTAACTAACTTAAAAATTCAGGAAACTCAAAGGGTGAGTTTAACAAATATATAAGACCTATGGAATTTAAATCTACATTATATAATAAAATTATACTTGAAAGTATTTCCATTTGCCCCACACAAAGTAGATGCTCATCAATTTGTTTATTATTTGTTAAAAATATGGAAGAACAAAAATTTATTTAAGAAAAAGAAAATTTAACTATCAATAGTATTATAAAAATAAATTGTTGAAGGTGAAAATCTTTAATTTGTAAATTCCTATATATTTGATTTCTTTACATTGTCATCACTTTTATAATTTTACTCCATTACAAATTAAAAACTAGGAGAAAACAGACAAGAATGTAAGTACTTTAGAATTAACTGGCTTTTCTGAAGGCAAGAGTTGACAAAACCTTTGCTTTAAAATCAAATTATTTGTTTAAGCTTTAATAATAAAATGCATATAAAAAGATTAGAGAGGAACACATAAAGTCATCTAGCTTTAATGTTAAATAACTTTTAAATTTATGTGTGATATTTTACTATTTGTCTGGACTTACTCTGAAGTTCTCTGGTGGCATCAAAAGACTTGTTACTGGACCAGCTTCCAAAAAGAATTTATGCAAAATTTCTTCAGTGAAGATATCCCACATGATGACACAAGAGTCCTGGTCCCCAGACACCAGCCAACTTTGGTCCAATTTTGAAGAGAGACCATGTGGGTAAAGTAATGAGATAACACTTTGGTGATGGCCTTTGAGGACTTTGTGAGGGAGGGAATCTGAAAAACAACCAACACCAAATAATACAAAAGTTATTTTTGTTCAAGAAATAGCCCTGAGATTGTCTTTTATAAATTTTTAAATTAAGAAAACTATACAAGTGAGGCAATTGGCTAACAAAATTACTAAATAATCTTTGGACAATCTCAAAGGCAAGTGCCTCCTCCTAAGCTAGATCAGAGCTACTGACACCCATTCTCCACACTGTTTCTTCTTTCATTAGTTAACTAAAAAATTTGGAAAGGACCACAGACCACAAACTTTCCTTATTCAAATTAAAATAGGTTCCAAAGAGTGATTATTACTTCTTTAAAGAATCACTATTTACTTATATTTCATCAGGTGTGCCCTCACTTTATATCCCCTGTGCAAACCAAGATAAATAGTAATTCATTTTAAGAGTTAGTGGTCAGGCTTTAGAGCCTCAGCCCACAGACCGAAGGATCCTGGGTTCAATTTCCAGTCAAGGGCATGTGCTCAGTTGCAGGTTCTACCCCAGGCCCCAGGTTGGGGCATGAGTGGGAGGCAACCAATCCATGTGTCTTTCTCACTTTGATGTTTCTCTCTCCCTCCCTCCCCCCAAAAAAAATTGATTTAAAAAAATATCCTTGGATAAGGATTAAAAAAAAAAAAAGAGTTAGTGAAAATAAAACCTACTATTCAAATGCAGTTTTCTGCGTAAGACAAAACAACCCTGGTAAAAACTGCTAAGGTCTTAAGCTTTTTCACTAATTTTAGCAGCAGCCATTGAGCTGTATAAGAGGACATTACTCCTCCTTGGTTCAGTTCATTGCTATTCACAGTTCTATTTCAGTCAATTACTGAGTCACAAGTTAGTAAGAAGCCAAAGTAAGCTGAGAACATTAGTAGACAAGGTGAAAGTTTTTCTTTTTCTTCTTCTTCTTTTTTTAATGAGATTTGGTCTTTACCATTAAGGACCTTGCAATCAAGTAGGATTGGTGGAATAAAACATAGAATACAAATTCATCTACACATCTCTAAATCTCAATCACCTACATTTCCTGCCTTTACTTAAGACAACTTACTACATAAGTCTTTATTTAATAAGTATTCCCTGTTGCAATGCTCAAAGTTGTAGAACAGCATATTTATATTTCATTAACAAAGAATAAAAATTAAAACAGGAAGATACCTTTTTCTACTGTGTGGCAAATATTAAAAAGTTTATCAGTATACAAAGTTGGCTAAGACTTGAGGAATAAGGCATTTGCATAAGCTGTTAGTTTATACACATAGACATTGATGCATGTTCTTTGGAGAACATTTTTAGATAAATTTTCAAAATTAAAAATTCACACAAATGTTGATTCTGTAATTCTGGGAATTAATACTATAAATAATACTCACATATATGTGCAAAGATAGTTAATTCTGCATTGTTTCAGTAGCCAAAGCTTAGAAAAACTTAAACATCCATGAACATTACTTTTAAAAATTAAAATTTGGTAATTATTAATCATTTAAATTAGCTCATAAATAATGTGCTCCAAAATATTTTTTGAGATTTGTTTGAGGACATTTCAGAAAAGTGTGCAGAATATGTTTCCATTTGTATAAAATAATTAAGTACATGCATATTGCTAAGCTGGTATATGCTTATATATGCATAGAATTTTTGAGAAAGGTATAAAGAAATGCACTAGCTGTTGCCTTTGGTGAAGGAAACAAGAAACTCAAGGAAGGACAGAAACACTTCTCATTGTATAATCTTCTGTTTGAATTTTTAGAAAACATATTACTTCAACTTAAAAACATGTTTTAAAGTTATCAAATTTATTAGCAAATGCCGGCAAACTTTTTAAGCTTCAGCAATCTTCTTAGTACAATTTGTTAAAGTTGAAACTTAGGTTAAGTAACATTCAATGACCTTTTAATAGAGAACCTCCTTCCAGAAGCCCTGCTTTGGCAGCACTCAAAGCCTGAGTAATGACAATGTTCCCATCTTCACAGCCACATACTAGTTTATCAAGACTTGGGACATACACTGATGAAGTGACCACCACAGTTCCAGCTCCATCTTTAAACCCAGAGAAGTAGTCGATAATGCTTTGTGACATGATATGATGCTTATCAAAATTATCTTGAAGGGTCCAGGTGGTAGTTATGGGTATCTCTAAAAGGAAAACATACGAGAAGGGAAATTTTGGTTTATATAGCCAGCATAGATTGGGAAAATATTATCAAGACACCATCCGTTGAGGGGTACAAAGAGATTCCTTTGTTAACCTAATTGTGGCTATAGGCATAAAAGTTCTCCTGAATCCGCTGTCTTCATTCCAAATGCAATTTATCGGCCCTCCATCCTTCGAGGAGCCTTGAAGAATAAATGTGTATGAATGCATTCATTTTAGACTTAGGTTTACTGAACAGAACTGAGGCACTACTGCAGTGATGCAAACTGTAAGACCAATCTCATGAGTTCTCCATTTGCTTTAGCAATGTTAAGAAAGAAAATTGGAGGTTTTTTAGTTGTGTGAGATAAAGGGAAGGAATTTGTTATTTTAATGTCAAGGATAGGAACATCTCAAAATTGTACCATAACCCTAGGCAACTATCTATGGCTACCAAACGTGCCGGTTACCATTTTATGTAGCTGACAATCCAAGCATGAGAACTGGGCATTGGACAGGCTCAGGAAGTGAGAGAGGCTTGGCATTCAGGACAGCAGAAGGCAAGGTAAAGCCAATCTATCTCGCTATGAACTGACCTCGTGGCCTTAGGATCCACATGCAACAGTGACTGTGAAACCCTCGACCCCAAAACTTAGACTAGCACCAAGAGTTGTCATGAATGTCTATGGCTCTCATTACAAAGAAGGTTGACTGGACATTTAATGCTGCGGCTGTAAGTAGAACAGACACGAAAAATGCTAGAGCCGCCATCAAGTGGCCTCAGCAGTGGGCATGGCATATTTTTTAACTCTTAAGATTGGCTTGTAAGAAACTTTTCCACACACTACACCAAGCTCTTAGTCTATTTCTCGATCCATTTCTAATTAATTTAGGTCTAAAGAAACCATTTTGAGAACATTTGGGACAGGGACACTAAAAGTGATACCAGTGAAGTAATTTACTGATGGAAACGCAAGTATAAAGAACCATGATTCAGCTGTACCCCAGACAAAGATTCACAGAGGTGACAAACTGGTTAGGAATAAATGGAAAAGAGTAAAATGGGGTTCTTCAATTTGGAACACACTGTTTCAGGAGTTTGAAAGTTCTCCACAATAACATTAATGTTGAGGATTTCAGTGTTTTATTCTAAGAAGAAATAAAATAAGCAAATGTGAAATCATCTAGCCATTCAAATTTCCAGGTGTTTTAGTGCCAGTGTTTATATATGTGCTTCATGTTCGAAGCAGCTGTAATAATCCCCATAGAGAAATTGGCTGAAAAAGGGGGTACAGCATATGGACAAGACAAAATAAAAAAATATGAATACGGTGTAGCAGCCTGCTCTATATTGTTATTGCCAGCATCCATTTTACTTCAATAAGACATCACTCATGTTAAATTAATGTTATTTTGTATTATATTGGCTGTATAGCTGCTTAAGATCTATAAGGGATTTATGTTGGCATCTAGTGCATAATAGTACATGAGAAATTCTTTCCTGTTTGTAGCTCATGTTACTCAACTTAGAAAAGCACAGAGTTAATTATAAACTGGTTCTCAGGAGACATGGGAAAGTCGTCTTACCTCCAGGAGAGCCATCAGACTTGGACACAGGAACATCGGGGATGTGCCACAAAGTAATTCTCCCTGAAACTTCTCCAGAGAAAAGTACCTTATAGAAAGGCTCTTTCCTTTCATTCATGTAGCCCATAACACAGGGCAGGCTCTGGTCAAAACAAGAAGTTAGCTTTTATGAGGGAAGATTTCCAAGCATAAAATGACAGCCACTGCTTTTAAATGAAGGAACAAAACTTCATAGATGAACTAAGTTTTAATTCCCACTGATTCTAAATTTTCAAGTACTTATAATCTTTTATTCAAGACAAAAACATTTTTATAGAATAAAAAGAAATGCCGTCAGGTAGACTTCAGAGTTAATAAGAATATCTAACATTTATTGAACATGTTCTGTTTGTATATTATATATACTACTAGGAATTTTGCATGTATTCAGTTAAATAATCCTCTCAGTAATCCTGTGAAGTTAGTACTATTATTGTCTTCACTCTACAGATGAATAAACTGAGAGTGAAGATTTAATTTATTGAAGGTGATATAGACGGTAGTGAACTGGAGCCCAGCAATTCTGTCTCAAGAGTCCATATCTTGATAACAATACTCCACTGTCCACTAAGAAGGCTTCATTTTTTATGTTCCATCTATCCATTAAAATAGTAACAACTAATGTTTGTATAGTAATTTTGTGTAATTAATATACTTTCCACTTTCTATTGACCTTTTTTTTTTCTTTTCAAATTCAACATACTTGATATCAAATTTCCTGTGGCCACAAAAAGAAAAATTAGAATGAGTCCATAAATTGTTAAAATATGTATACTATACGACTGTAATTAAAAAATGTTTAATTTTTAAAAAGAAGACTAAGAAAGTGAATTTCTTCATCAGAAAATACATATTTGAAGGTCCAAACTTAAATAAAGTAGTGGGGAAATTCTATAATTTATCTTTAGAAAATATTAGGGGCCAAAATACTGCTACATTCAATCCTCACAACAAAGCTACAAAGTAAGTAAATATTGTTATTCTACTTGTGGAGATAAGGAAACTTAAAATAGAATGAAAATAAGAAACGAATCCAAGACAGTTCAAAAAAGATATGTAATCCTCTATAATCCTAAGAAATGAAAAGAAAAACAGTTGATATGAAGTCAGTTCTCTGAATAAACCTTGCTTTGTCTTGTTTTTAAGATTCAGGAGGCAATATGGGGTCTTAGAGTTCTCATAGCCACATCATTGTAAGTGTTAGAATGGTGTTGATAAAACTTGGTTAAATTAACTTCTCAAATACTCTCAGCCTTTAGGAACCTTAGAATTGAACACCAGTCCAGCCTCCCGTCATATGTTGATGAGAATGAAGCTCTGAGAGGCTGGTGGGTTACTCAAGTTGGGGCAGCGCATCTCTTCCCTCCCAGCAACTTGTGCTGTTGTTCCCTCACTAGTTTGGCAATTCACCTGAATGCCTGACCAGAGTCTCTTACCATATGAATTCTGATCGTTCATATCAGGATCAGTACCCATGACAAAGAGTATCCATTCTCCAAGATGTAATAAAATAGTCATTGAGAGTGAATTCTCGGGGGCTAACTGCCTGGATTCAAATACTGGTTTTAGCACATACTAACTCTATTAAAGGAGCTAATTACTTTAGACAATTTACTTAACTTTTTTATGTCTCATGGTCCCTAGCCATGGAATGAAAGCTAATAAAGACACCTACTATGGCCCAGCCTATGTGACTCAGTGGTAGAACATTGAACAATGAACCAGGAGGTCACGGTTCAATTCCCAATCAGGGTACATGCCTGGTTGCAAGCTCAATTCCACAGTATGAGGCATGCAGGGGGAAGCCAAGCAATGATTCTTTCTCATCATGGATGTTTCAATCTCTCTCTTCTTCCCCCTTCCTCTCTGAAATCAATAAAAACATATTTAAAATATAAAGGCACCTACTATGTGGGATTACTGTCAGGACTGAGTTGATGAGGTAAGGTGCTTGGAATGGGGCCAGGCATTTGGTACATACTCAACAAATATTAACCAGTCTTATTATCCACTTTCAGAACAACTGAGAAACTCAATCCAGAGACCCAGTACCAGACTCCCCAGCCAAACTACCTTGTCTCAAATCCCGAGAATTAACCTCTCTGAACATCAGTTTTAAAATGGGAACATGGTGGTTACTCGTGTAAATGAAGCCATGTGTATGTATGACAATTACAAGAACTATCATCTCCATCATTGTCATTACTCAGTTCACGCACCCAAATGTCTTACCTGCAACCCTCAGGTTGTTTGTATCCCTGTTACTCTCTCTTAGACTGCAGTCTTACTCCTCAACAAAGACCCTGGGAAGCCTGGCTCCTCATCGTATCAGCCACAGGCCTCATCAGATATGACTGAAAGCTTGGAAGACTAAGAAAGCTGCTGAAAGGACGGGGAGGCCAGTTCTTGCTACTACAGCTGCATGAGCAGGTATGTCCCCTGCATCACAAAGGGTGACCCTGAGAGCATATCACTATCAATTTAGTTCTATCTATCCATTCCTCCCCCAAAAAACCCAGTCAACATTAAATGCTTACACAGCACCCTTTCCTAAGCTCTCCAGGTCTAACAAACTCATCTCCCCACTCCACCAACATGCTTTCACCACCTAATTGCAAGCGCCACTAAGAAGTCTTATAATGAGTGAGTAGTGATGATGTTTTGAATAAGGAGAATAATACCTGACTTCCTTTTTTTGTCTGGATAAAGGGGGAGCAAGGGTCTAGGGTAGATCATCATCTCTCAGTTTTAGACCATTCTGGTATATTGCACTGGTTTACAAGCACTACAGACACAACTTTCTAAACAACAAGCCCTGGTAGAGGGCCCATCAATATTTATCTTCACATTTTGAGAAACAAAACAAGGTAGCTTCCCAGAAGATTAGTATGTTTTAAAGTTGCTCTGGAATTGCTGTATTTTTTCCTTATAATTATGTGTACAAAGTTTATACTTGCAGTAGACTAGAAGCTCCTTAAGGACACTACATATATGTAACTTTTAGGGAAAACTGTGCTTTGTAAAACTGCAATCTAGAGGTAAAAAAGGAAAAAAGAGCAGGCCCTTTCAAAAGAACTAAAAACGCCTCTTGAGTCGGCCACAATGCTGCTTTTGTGATCAACGGGACACAGATGCAGTGCTGCCCGCGGAGGAAGGCAGAAATAGCACCAAATGCCATAATCCCGAGGTCTGCCTACGCCCCAGCGGTACCAGTAGTTCTAATTTTTGGCTGACAGCTTCTTAATCAACTTTTTTGCAACAAAACCTCACAGATATGTCAGCGGAACAATCGCTGAACTGTAGGATTTCCGACAGCTATGCTGGCTGATTATGCAAACCGTCACTCTATTACAATTAACATGCTTCCTTGGTTGACACATCAGTGATTCAAAACTCTTCCATTCTCCATGAAATACCATTTTGATAATTAACTGATCACTAAGTCCAATAGGTTTAAAAAAAAACACACCACTGTGGTTAACACTACTATAACAAAATAACTGCTTAAATCTTCAGGCTTCACAGAGTGTCAAAGATATAATTCTGCCAAGTAAAAGCTCACAATTATATCCTCAAATTTGTAAGGATTCATAAATAAATGTGTTTTAATTAGATCTGATATTCATAAAAAGAGCTAAATATATGTGAAAATGATGTCAGTATTTTTTTAAAAAGTGAGATATAAACATTTTGATAAAGTTTAAAAATTGGAAAGATACATTAAAAGATTAATCTTGTATCAAACCATATATTAAAAAGATCACTGAAAAGTGTGTGGTGTGTGGTGTGTGTGTGTGTGTGTGTGTGAGTGTATGTACAGAGAGAGAGAAACCAAATAAAATAAAATGTTGGCAACTGGTGGATCTAAGCAAAAGGTAAATGACTGATGATTGAAATAATTTTGCAACTTTTCAAATGTTTAAAAAGTTTTCCAATTACAGTGAGTAAATACACATGATAAAACATACTTACAATGAATATTTATGGTGGTAGAGTTGGAATTTTCATTCCTCCTTCTTAAAAACATTTATCATTTTTCTATAACAGATAAGCATTTTTTAATAAGACTTGAAGACAGGGTGTGTTTTTTTTTAAAATGCAAAATTTTCTCTTTAGTAGCCACTAACTGTTAGATTTGATTTTCTCATTAACAAATTGATGTGATTCTTCAATTCAGTTTTTCAAGCCTGAGTCTGTTACAGACAAAGCAGCACTTAACTGAGAACCGGAGCGAAACAGCACTGAGCAGCCCCTTTTCTTGCATTACCTTATTTTCCTGCACAGACGCAGAGCACAGTAAATGAGGATAAATGGTCTCTCTAAGCACTCTTCCATCAGCAGGGTATATGCTTTTTGAAAGCCCACTGCGTAGCAGAAAAAAAAAAAAAAAGCAAAGTTTAGAACTTTGGGGCTCTTTATTCGTGTGCGTGTTTTGTGTTTTTTTTTTCCCCTCCCCAATTTCAAAAGCCGGATGGTACCATTCAAGTTTCTAAACTCTAGTTAGAAATTGTTGGATTAATAATTACAAGTGACTTTTTGAAAGCCCAGCACCAGCTGTACAAGTTATACATGGCTAATCTCATTCCTCCATCCCCTGCTGTTTTATACAAAGGCCCAAGCCCACCAAGCCCAGAGTAAATCTTCCAGTGCCAAAGTTGTTTTGTTCTGGTTTTTGATCATGGGCAGCATGCGGGGATCTTTCCATAATAAACCTCCCAAAGTTCATTTCCAACCTGAATGTTTTGTATGCCGCTCCCATCTGAGCCCACCTGTTCAGCAGCTGATAGATGTAACTGTGACCATCTTCTGTCCAGATGATGATTCTGTGAGCAGCAAGCACCTCCCCGCCAGCAAAGAGCTGCCCACGTCTACTGACTTCAGTCCGCAGAAGGGAAAAATCGCAATAATCGTAAACCTAAAGCCCAAAATGAATGATACACATTAGCAAAAGCTTCCGATCTAACCTGCCAATGAGGTGAAAGATAAGTTGTGCTCTTCAAGACTATTTAGTTTACAGTATTAATGCAACAACATACTAAGTATTGATGATAGCCCACACTGTACTCGGTATTAAGATATTCTGCTAGTACTTATTTTTTCTTATTGTCCTAAGGTAGGTTTCAGTAGGTAAACATTATTTGGCTAATATGTCCATTAAGCACAGAGATTAGAAATCCTAAAATCTCTCTATAGTTTTATTCTTCCCATATGGGTAATCTACTTTAACATTTGAAAACGTGCTACACAAAAACGTCTAAATAGTAGAGATCATGTGTTAGACCATACGCTTAATATTTTTGTTTTAAAATATATCAGCATATACATAAGACAATATAGAGTCATTAACTGAACCCCGTATATGAAACACCAAAGGAAAAGAGAGTGCTATCAAGTGATGATAACTTTGCTTTTTTTTTTTTTTTTAATCTTCTTGGAGACATCAGTGAATCTATTTACAAAAAAAGAAATATACATTCCCTAAAAAACAAATGTAGTGACAAAGCAAACAAAGAAATACATCCTATATAATAAAAGGGTAATATGCGAATTGGCTGAGCAGCAGAATGACTGGTCACTATGAAGCACACTGACCACCAGGGAGCAGATGCTCAACACAGGAGCTGCCCCCTGGTGGTCAGTGCACTCCCACAGCGGGAGCACCACTCAGCCAGAAGCCAGGCTCATGGCTGGTGAGTGCAGCAGCGGTGGCAGGAACAAGGGCACCTGAACTGCAAAAGGGTGCAGGCTGGACAGAGGGACTCCCCTCGCCCCCTGAGAGCACAAATGTCATATGTCGTGCACCGGACCTCTAGTATATAAATAGGGCCGATTTATGTGGGTGAAAGTATTAGTTTTATTTTTAATTCTAAAGATCAAGCGTTAACTTTTGAAAATAATCTAGAGATAAATGTTCTTTATTAATATGGTTTGTTATCAATGATAAGAGCACTTACTATTACATTTGCCTCCTGAGAGGCAAAACAGCATAACTAATAACAGTCAGGCAAAAAAGACAGGTCATCCATGCTGTGGTCATAATATAATAAAGTGTTTGTATCATATTTTAAATCATATCCTTACAACAATTTCACTGAACAAGAAAAAAAATTAAAAATTATATTTGTATAGCATTGGCATTTATTATGTTGTTTTATAATACCTTCCAACATCTAGAAAATACCACCAATAGAAGTCTCTCTGTATATGTGCAAAATCGTATTGTCCGGCAGTTCAGGGAGTCAAGAAATTTGGATTCCTTTTCATAGACATCTTGCTTTTCCTTCAAAAGGAATAAAAACATTTTAGTACAAGTTATAGGTCATTTACTATACATGCCACTGTATCAGATTTGTTTCTCTGAACACCTGAAGTAGATCACACCATTATTAAAAAAATGAAAAGTACCCCCGTTTCCTTTTTAAATTTCTGAACTCCGAAGTTACTTTGCAAAAAATAGCATGAGCAGGAAACCCATGTGGATTCAAGAATTCATCATGTAAACTCACTCAACAAATATTCTATGGGGGTCTAGGCTGGATTCTGAGAATGTTAAGACTGAGTTACTGACATTCAGACTTGGCAGAAAGACAAACCAAAAAGAAAAAGGAAAATAAAATTTCAAAACCCTGCAGTATCTTAATTGCTATCACAGGAAAATACACAAAATGCTTTGACAAGATCGAAGAGTGGCCAGACACTATATTCTCAATCTGAAAATGCTGGGTGTGTGTTTCTTGGGCTCAGGATGCCAATACAGTCCCGGGCTTCCTCATTCAAGACACTCCGGAGAGCCCAGAGCCCCAGGGGGCAGCCAAACAATTCCTGCACCAGCAAGCACAACAAATGTATGACTGTGCTTTTGTCCATCACCTCAACTTGTAGCCTACAGCCAGGGAGCAGGGGAATACACTGGACTACCAGGGTATGTGACCCCCGGCTGCACATAGTCATCTCCCTGCCACTGCTCTCACACACACACACACACACACACACACAGAAAAAAGCAGGTCTCCTGATGTAAGGGACAGAATGAGATTCTCCTACAATTTATATTTTTAATTAAAACATAATCTCTCTGTGTGTGTGTGTGTGTGTGTGTGTGTGTGTGTGTGTGTGTATAAAACATTTGCATGTGCATGGAGAAAAGAATGGAAGGACACAATTCATCTGCTTCCAATGCCCACCCCTGGCACTAGAAGCAGGAAGAGGAATAGGAGAAGCACACACAGAGATACACAGAGATAAAACGTAGTCTCTTTTATAGTATTTGAACTTCTAAAAATAAGCATGCACTATCCCTGTAATTTTTAAAATGTCCATAAATATGGATGGAGAAAAAAAAGTTTCAAAGCCAACCTGAATGCTGTTGATAGATGACGAGAGATCCCACACTTTGAGTTCCCCTGTAACTGATACCACCAAGAGAGAATCTTCTGCAAAAACAACAATGGTTGCAGATAAGTGACCACTGCAGTAACTGGCAGATATACAGATCATTTCATGGTCATTTAGGGACTATGCAGGGCTATGCCAGTGAAAAATATTCAGCTTTGTTGTTTTCTTAAATAAACATTTTAGATTAGGTTTTACATCGATTTTAACGTTCCAAAGAGACCCCATAACAAAAGGAGAGCCGCTCTAAAAGCAGAACCACATAAACACCATCCTGTTGGCAATATCGCACCTTCCTATCCCAGACGTCAGTATGGAACCAGCCTTTCTTTCCCTGGGCAGTCACTCGTTATAGAAATGGAATTCTCTTCACTAGCACATCTAGAAGATACAGCAGGATGAGAGGTCCAAGAGTCCTGCTAAGCCACAAGAAACTCATTCTTGTTACGTTTCAAAACGTACCAACCAGAGTTGGGTGGTGCCCACACAGGTTCTCCTCTTTCCACATTTTACCCTTGTGCTGACTTTCCAACAACACCCTGAACCAATTGCCTGGGTGTCCCCGTTTTTCTTAATCTGGTTTAAGGAACTATCCCCACTACCAAGTAACATAAAGAATCATTCTAGATGCTTGCCCAATAACTTAACCAATAGTTCAAAGTCATATTTTCATATACAGCCTCTTTGTGCTATGTATTACCCGGCCGTTACCTTGAATTCTCATGGAGTGAACGATGCACATGCAATTGACCCAGTCAGGAGACTGGGACGATGTGAACGTGTGAACTAGAACCAAGGTTTTGGCGTCAATTATAAGAACGTCTTGATATTCTCCACAGCATAGAAGCCAGCCTTCTCCTGTCATCCGGAACGAGCAGTGGTAATACTGTGCAAATGGAATTCAAGCAAAAATGCAATTATCACTAGCCATTAACATAAATTCTCTGGATTTTAATTTTATCATCTATTCGATTAAGGTATCAGACTGAAGAGCAACTAAAAGTTCTTTGACTTAGGTTATTTCCCACTTCTAAAGTGTTGATTTTGCACTTTAGTCTCATTTGTATTTCATAATTTATTTATAGAAAGGGGGATCTTTCGTGAAGTGGGAACATTATTCCAAATCATGGAAAGTTCGCAAGTCTATTATTTCTGGAGTGATGTGTAGAACTAAAGAACAATAATAACAAAAAAAAAACCACACAAAACAGATTCCTTATTCTAGTAACATTGCTACATGTTAAGAAGAGATAAAAGTGTTTGAAGAGCATTGGAGGAATGTTGGTGCTGAATAAGTTTTGGGAATGGCTTTCATTAAAGATTGCGTAGTATGGTCTACCCTTAAGGCTCTCTCACTGCACTGGTTTTGGTCACTGAAGAGAGTTGGTTGGTGTTGCAGTGCAGGTCATGAATGCTAAAAGCAATGAATGAAATATGAAAATCTGTCAGCATCACTGGGATCATGCAACTACCTTACATCTATGCTAGAGTCTGTCTACCAAAAGCCAAGACCTGTATTAAATATTGGGAAGTGATTACAAAGGTTATGACTATGCCTCTTGCTCTCTTCATGGATAACAAAATCAGAATCTATCCTCCTAAGAAAGGTTAAAATTGGAAACCAGGAGAAAAAAAAACACAACAACAACACAAAAAAACCATTTTTGCTTTATAAAACAGCACATCATTAGAATGAAATCTTTCTCTGTGTGTGTGTGTGTGTGTTGTGAATGTACTTAAGGAAAAACAAAATAAGAAAATTGTCTTTCAAATTTATCTATGCTAAGAACAGAAAAAAAAGGCTGAATAATAACTTTGGGAGGAGAAAAATGCCAAAGTAAAAGATGATAACTGGCCACTTTATCGTCCAATGACAAAAATAAAACATTCAAGAAAAAAAAATATCCTCCAAAGACATTTCTTGGAATGTGTGCCTGGTGATGCCCTGAGGGAGTTGCAAAACCCAAAAAGGTGCTGCAGGAGGCGCCCATACTCACGCAGATCGCAGTGTGCCTGTAGGGAAGGGTGGCCTTCTCCACGCACTGCCCGTTGGTGACATTCCATACACACATCTCCCTAGCAGAGATAACCTCGTATTATTCTCTGTCATTTCCACTCAATTGGCTGGAATAATTTCTGTGCCACGAAGTTTTTCTTCAGCGCTGCACTTAAACGCAGCCTGATCGTTTATGGGGCTTTTTGTTACAGATTACTGGGCAAGAAAATGCCGTGGTCATTAGCAGGGATGCACACTGTATCTGTGCCTTTCTGTCTGGGCAATTACACCTGCTGCCGGCCTGCACACCTTCCCTTAGTGCCAGTCTGGCCTACAGCACATTGTGAGGATACGGTCATCACAGCCTTCTGGAGGGACAGTTCCACAAGCTTCCCATGGAAACTGCCTCCTCTGGAAAACGGTTGATTTCACTGAACTTAAACTACATATTCTGAAAAGCATAATGCATCGTCTTGCGGAGCCCGGGGAGCAGTTTTATAAAAATGAACAGTGCCACCAAGAGGCCACATTTGGTCTATCGTTGATGGGGTTTATTTCTTTGCTTCTGAAGTCCTGAAATCATCCTTGCAACTTAATGTTTAAAAAAATTTTCGTTGTTTAGAAAACTGACCTGATCACATATGTGTTACCAACAGATAGACACAGTTATGAAATACAGCTTTAAAATACATCTAGTGTAAGTCAGCTTAAATATCTATGGTTTCTGTTCACAACAACCAAAATGGCTGTTTCAGAATTTGTCCTGTAATATTCTTCTATTTTGACAGTTTCAAAACATAAGCACAATTTCTAATGGAAGAAATGAAAATGCTATTGGCATTAAGGGAGAAGCTATTAAGAAACAAGATATGGACTAAAGTTGTTAATTGTACTTTGTGACTGGCAGGCTCTTTTTTGCTTTTCTAGTCAAACAACAGGACTCAATTTTTAAATCAGTGATTTTCAACCGGGGTGACTTTGCCCACAAAGGATATTTAGCAATGTTCAGAGATAGTCGGGTTGTCACAATTTAGGAACACACGACTGGCACCTAGTGGAGAAAGAGTAGAATGCGGCTAAACATCTTTAATACATAAGATGATCCTCACAACAAAGGATTTTCTAGTGGTTCAAATGCCATTAGTACTAAGGTTGAAAAACTATGTTCTAGAAAGAAAATATTCCCGTTTGTTTTTTTTTTTCCATTTCCGTTAATATTCAACCTTGTTCCAAAAATAACTTGAGTCATGGGTGAGGGTAACTGTGTGTCTGAAAAATAAGACCAGAAGAATGGTAGAAAGTGGAATAATGTATCTCAAAGGTAAAAAAACAAACAAACAAATGACAAAAAAAGTATGTCAAAAGTAAAAATAAAATCTTAAGCAGCCATCAATATAATTTTTTTATCTCTATAAGGAATTTGATTTTATTAACATGATGCTCAATTCTTCTGGGAATACTTTAAAAAAATACCATCATAAATTCTAAATTTATGATTCAGTGTTTGGGTCCTATCATGTGCAGTTTTCAAAATCTCCTGGTCAGTTAACCTGTTCCTAGGTAAGTCTATCTCTAAACTAGTGGTTCTTAACTCTGGCTATCCATTAGAATTATCAGGAAGTTTTCAAAAGTACTAATATCTGGCCTGGCAGAGTAGCTTTGGGATTGAGCATTGGTCCATGAACCAGAAGGTCAGAGTTCAGTTCAATTTCCACTCAGGGCACATGCTCAGGTTGTGGGTTTGATCCCAAGTGAGGGGAGGGGCTTTTGGGAGCCAGCTGATTAATGATTTCTCTCTCATCACTGATATTTCTCCCTCTCCCTCTCCCTTCCTCTCTCTGAATACAATATATATATATATATATATATATATATATATATATATATATATGAAATTACTGATATCTGGGACCCAACCCAGACATCAAGCCAGACTAATTAAATCACATTGTTCAGGCTTGAAACTTGGGCATCAGGCAAAGTTCCCTCAGTGATACTGATGTTTCTACATTCTCTACTCCAAATATGTTCTCTGAACCAGCAGCATAAGGATTGTTCTGGAATATTCCAGCAATGTCCAGGAAGGTGTTAGAAAATGCAAATTCTTGAACCTCAGCCCATCCCTACTGAACCCATTCCTTCAACATGGGGCCCACACATTTTAGTTAAACAAGCTGTGCAGGTAATCTGATGTAAGCTCCGGTGAGGATGTTTGCCCATCTCTTTATTCTCATCTCTTTCTGGTGCTTAAAAGTTTTACTAACACTCAAAAACCCTCTTTATCAGTGCCAAGACTTTTTGCCTTAAAGAGTATGTTGATATAAAATATTTATCTATATAAAATATTTATACTACTATATCAACCTTATTTTGGTTGTTATTCATTTGATGAATCTTTTTTTCATTCTACTTCTACTTACTTTTAACTTTTCCATGTCCTCATGCTGGTTTATGTTTTGTTTTCTTTTTATTTGTCTGCCGATCTTTGTATTTTAATTGAAGGGCTTAGAACCTTTACATAATTTAGATTGTTGTTCTATTTCAATTAACTTATTTTGTGCTTTCTATTTGTCCCATTTATGTGTGTCTTCTTTGGATTAAACAATATGTTGTTGTTTTCCTTTTTTAAGTTGGAAGTTATATATTCTATTACTTCTATTTTTATTTATTTTGACTGTTCTATTAACAGGTACCCTGGAAATGTTACCATGTACATCTGGCTTAAAGTCTAAAGTTAATCAACCTCTTCACATACTGCTAAAACATCAGAACATTTGGAATCTGATCATTATACTATTATATGAAAGTCTAAAGTTAATCAACCTCTTCACATACTGCTAAAACACCAGAACATTTGGAATCTGATCATTATACTATTATATGAAACTGTTGATTAGGATTGTGCAAAGATGGAGTGGGGAGTGTATATAAATATTATTGTGCCATATAGTTTATGTTTATTTGCATTTTTTAAAATATTCCCTCTGTTTGGTTCAATATTCCTTCTCCCATCTCAGATTTCCCTTTTGAAATCATTGTCCTTACATAAGAACATAATTTAGAATTTTGTTACTTATAGAGCATCTGTTGGCAGTGATGGAATTTTAGTAGTATTTGACTTAAATGTTACTATTATGCCCTCATGTTTTCAAGGTATATTTGTTAGAGATACACTTCTAAATTGATAGTTTCACTTAGTATTAGTTTAATTAACATTCCTTTGTAAATAATGCTTTTTCTCACTGACTACTTTCAGGATCTTCTCTCTCTTCTTCTTATTCTCTCTCTCTCTCTCTCTCTCTCTCTCTCTCTCTCTCTCTCTCTCTCTCTATTGTTTCATAATCAGGTCTCCAATTGTTTATTTCCTTTCATTTACTCCAGAATTTACTGGGATTCCTAAATCTTAGAATTTATGCTTACACATGTAATACTTAGGGGGAAAAACATGAAAAACTGGGTTATGAGGCAATTTTATGGCCCCTCTGATCATCTTGGAGGCAGAAAGGCCAAGTACCCAGTCATATCCTGAGACTTCTGAAAATTATACAAAACCATTGTTGTTTGGTAAATAATAGTCCAAGTCTAGTAATTTTCATAACTTCTAACATTAAATTAGCATATGTTGAGTATGCAATAACTCTAAGAAATATATTACAGATGCAGGATAAGTTTTGGACACCAAAGGAACAGAGGTCTAGAAATTTCTAATTCTATTTGAAAAGGAAAACTAAACTAGACTCCTTGGTTGTTTAATAATCATATTCACAGGATTTGTACAGCTGAATTCATCAATCATCAAGAATAGACTCTTTTTTGGAGTTAGACCACTGTGGGCAAAACTGTCAATCTGGAACTCAGTTACATTTCAGATCTATTTCTCAGATAGCTATTATTTTTCTCAATTCTCCAAGTAAACTCAGAAGAAAAAAAACTCATACACATACCCAGATTCTCTAGAGTGGGAATACATATTTCAGTATGTGTAGCAGTTTTTGTGGCAGCCCTATTGTATGAGAATTACTGGCAACTATTAAAAACGAAGGTGCTAAGACATTTCACTTTATTTAGCCTTATCCAAAACTCAATCTCTCTAAGTATAACAATTATGGGAATAGGTAGGTCTGTGGTATAAGCTGTGGAAATAAGTACTTTTTAGATATCAGTTTCTCCAGATTGGACACTTGGTTCCTCATTATTTTGGTTCTTGGAAATTAGAGCCATGTAATTTCTCTTTGGATTAAAACCAAAAAAGGAGGTGTTCTCTTGTTTCAACCAGTAAACCAATCCCTCATTCACAAATGCATGCTCATTCAATGTTGTGTTCTTGAGTATACGTGGGCAAATAACTCATCAGCTGAGTCTGCTTTCTCCTAGTTCTTTCATCAGCGGGGCTTTTTCCTACAAATCCTGTTTCATTGAAACACATCTCACTTCCACAAAACAGAACCCAAATCACTGTCTACGTTCCTTTCCTTTCTCTCTCCCGCCATTCCACTTACAATTGAATCCTCTCCTCTGTTCATTTCATAATGACTTCGGACAAGTGTACAACACGAGGACTGTAACAACTGAATTGTTTCGCAGAACTGCGAAGGCTTGGATGGGTTTGCTTAAGAGCTCAAAGTGAGCTGCTACATGAAAAAAGACAAGCGCCCAGACTTTCCCACTTCCAATTCTGTAATAGCTGGCATTTGCCAGTGTCCTTGACACAGTGGGGTGGGCCAGAAAGCAGGGTACACACACACTGGGATGTTTCAATATTGGGACTCATAGTACTGATTGCATTCCTGGGGATCATCGCACAAATTAATCAAACCCTCGAAATCTAAACTTTTCTATGTACCAAAGGAACATGCTCATCACTAAGGTTTCCTTTGACCCTAGCATTCTGTACCCCATGCTTTTAAAAAATAGAGAGTGAAATATGGTAGCAACCATACTTGAGTAAAAACTGCTGTTTGAATTTTAACCCTGCTATTCTGGCTTCGGCACTCACTTACTTGCTCAAACAATAGGGTAGTTGCCTCAGCTTCCAGATTGAGACCTGGAGGCTAAGGCAATTTTCCTGTGCCTGTGGACCAGGACCACAGGACACTGATTCCCACTGACTCAGTAGCTTCAGGAGTAGAAACTGCAGATAATCAAGATAGGGCCACATTCCAATGTACAGCTGGATGTGGCTGGGAATGACCCTGTGGGCTGTTCCCAGCCTTTAGAATTTAGAATTCAGAACAAAGGAAAGATTTTGTGGTTTGGACCTTTAAAAGGACTGACTACACCTGGAACAGTGCGGTTGTGTGGACTCCACCTGCATGTGGTGCTCTCTCTCGCAGCCGTTCTGGCCAGTTCAGTAAATCCTTGCCTGCTTTTTTTAATCATCATCAGCCTCCAGTGGTCTTATTTTGAATCCAGGGTTCAACCCCACAACAGAGAGGAAATGGAGACGCATACAAAGCTTCACACATCATACCTACCCATTTTCAGCAGCACTAACGACATAGCGCTCTTTAGAGAAGTCTCTGGCTTTCGCCACACATATTACTGACGCAGAATGGCCAAACAGAAGTTCTTTAGCTGAAATCTGAAAATGATGAGGGTAAGTTTTTAAAGAGCTGTAAACGTTTTATTTAAAAACATACAAAACACATGCAGGACGCGTTAATATTTAAAATTCTGCTAAGGAAATCCTGTTGTGTTATGTTATAGACATCACGAAAACTGATACATGGCATATCCAAATCCACAGAACAATGCACTCCTAAGTAAAGGAATTGTGTTGTATAAATTTTTTTGGTTTGTTTTTGGTTTTGTATCCACCATGAAGCCTAGAAGGTGGCCAGACCAGTTCTGCAACATCTGGCTTTTGAATACAAATAAGTCAGTGTTGATGTTTATTATGCACAAAATGTGCCTCATATGATAGTAGAATGTTAATATGCTAGTTTCAGAATTCAGAAATGAGTTTACAAAACACAAGATATTTGCCTTTTGTAACCATAATAATTCCTTCCTGGACTTTCTGCCTTTGAAATAAACTTTTCTATATTAAAAATAAAATTGCAACTAAGCTATTATTTAAAATGCCAGTTTTTTCTCTAATCTATGAATTTAAAACTATGGCACTAAGGCCTAATTCTCCCGTTATTTCATTTGTGAAAAAAAGTCTATTCCTTATTATTTTGTAAAGCTTAATTATAAAAATCAAACTACAAAATTGAAAACATGCAAGATCCCCTGAAATGGAGGAATTGTCATTAAGGGACTAAAATTTAATTTGAATAACTAGTAAGTATGTGGTTAATTAAACTTGTCTCATGAGTAATAAAAATCTAATTTCCTAATGAATTAATATTCATGATGTGTGTGTTTTTTTTCTGAACTCTGCAGACAAAGATGTGGATGATAACACAACCATATTAATGAGAACAAATAATTTCATAACATAATTGTTCTCTGCCTTCATCTTATTTCTATTATAACCTGAAATATTTCTTTAAAAAGTCTATTATTGGTCCGAAACTGGTTTGTCTCAGTGGATAGAGCGTTGGCCTTTGGACTGAAAGGTCCCAGGTTCGATTCCAGTCAAGGGCATGTACCTTGGTTATGGGCACATTCCCAATAGTGGGGTGTGCAGGAGGCAGCTGATCAATGTTTCTCTCTCAATGATGTTTCTAACTTTCTATCCCTCTCCCTTCTTCTCTGTAAAAAAAAATAAAATAAAATATATTATATATTTTTTTAAAAAGTCTATTATTGGACTACATTTCAAGTGCTGCAAGGAGGGTTTTGTTGTTGATTAGTATCACTTACAATCCAAGTTCTGACTCTACCTTATTCCTGGGAAATTTAGAAGGTTCCATCTCAGAACAACATTAATAAGTTTCCCCATCATCGTACTTGGAAATGCTTATCCTAGGAATTTAACCCCAAGTCCAACATGTTGTAGACCAAATTAAACAATGAATTGGGGCACACCAGGACATTCCCTCCTCCAGAAAAAGTCCACTTTAGACAAGATATCAAAATGGAACGCCATTGCTTTTCATATGAAGTTCTCATTCTGTTACTAAATCCCCACATACAGTTGAATAAGCTTGTCAATTTACTAGTCTCCTAATTTTATCATATTTTAGGACTGCTGTGAAGAATAATTTAAAAATTCTGCAATCACACCTAGTCATTATCATGACGAGAGCCAGGAGATCTTTCCTTCTATCCACTGGCTCTCCCTCTATGAAGCAGTGTTTCCCAACCCCAGGTGCTTCCAATGACACAGATGATAAAAAGCAAAGAACACACAAGTTGAGCAGCATCTACCAAATCCCAGACATTGGTACAGCTATGAACAGTGCTTAATCTTCATTTCAAAGGTGAGGAAATCAAGGTTCAAAGAATGTAAGTCATTTGCCCAATAATACAAGAGTTGGTAAATATGAACTAGAACTTTACCCAGATATCTCCATTCTTTCTTCATTTTGTCATTGTTATGTTTCCTTGTGAGTATTAAACAGAAAGAAAATAGAGCATTCCAATACTAAGGAAATGTATGTTCAACTCACCTTTTTTATGCTCAAAGGTATGATGAATACCAGCAATCAATGCCAGCAAACCCAGGTGAGAAAGTTCCTAGCATGGGACTTGGAGAGGCTCCTCATTAGGAGACAAAAGTCCCAGAGGTCTTTGGGGAGACCCTGAGCCTAGAGGCAGCATGCATAATCTGTACCCTGCCATCCTACACCCACAGACAGGGGAAGACAGAGAAATGTACCCAATCCTCTGATGAATATCTGGATACTCCAAAATGTCCAGAACTTAAACAACCTTCTTTCCCTCCCTATTCCTACTCTCTGATCACCTCTATTCCTTATACAAGTACACAATGCCATTATCCCACCCATCCCACCCATCACTCAAACTCCAAATCTGGAAGGATTCTTCAACTGTCCTGCTCCTCCACCCATATCTAACTGTTGCTCAGTTCTCTCTTCTTTACAATTGCCCAGGCTTCATTTCCTCTTCTTTCCCAGGGTCACTCCCAGATTATTTTACATTCCAGCCCCTGCAACTTCCTTCTCCTCTACCTGCTGTCCTCACCTTGATATGCCCTTAAGCTTCAAACTGCCCAACAGCCACTCCGTCACACACATATTTATATCCTCTCTCTCTTACAATCTCCCATGTCCTCCAGGCCTCCCTTCTACCTCCCTTGCCCAAATTATGCCTTTTTATATTCATTTTTTCAAAGAAAAATAAAATTAAACCACTAAGTATTAATATCAATGATGGACCACTCACTTGACTGCCTTTCCGATCGCAAAAGGACTAAAAATTGTCCTCGAATTTTGAAAAGCCTATATATTTTTCCTGCTAATAGTTGATATATTGTTGGTTGAGATTTATGAGAAAAATAAGAGATGTTCATTCTTTCTGGCCCTATGGTTAGCCATAGAAAATGTTAATGAGAACTCTTATGTGGAAAATCTCACATTGATACTAATCGGTCTCTTATTGGTGTTATTAACTTTCTCAACCTACCCTCACAGTAAATTTCCAAAACATAAAGCTGATATAACCTTCTATTTAAAACTCCCTAATGGTTCTCCTTGTTTCTTCCATCCCTGCTGATTGGATTCTAATTCTTACATCATATCTGTCACTGGATTTCTCAATATCATTACTACAGCATTGACACTTTGGCTGGGATGATTCTTTGATGTGAGGGGCTGTCATGTGCCCCAAAGGATGTTTACAGTATCCCTGGCCTCTATCCACTCCATGGCAATAGCACCCCCTTCCTCTAGTTGTAACAACCAACAAGTTTCTGCCATTATTATTAGATGTCTCTTGGGGTGTGGGAGGGCAAGAACCACTGCTCCAACCTCAAGCAAAAGACTTGCTTCTAAGAAAAGCATGGCTTGCTGAAACAGGTTTGGCTCAGTGGATAGAGCATCAGTCTGCGGACTGAGGAGTCCTGGGTTCAATTCCAGTCAAGGGCATGTACTTTGGTTGTGGGCACATCCCCAGTAGGAGGTGTGCAAGAGGCAGCTGATCGATGTTTCTCTCTCATTGATATTTCTAACTTTCTATCCCTCTCCCTTCCTCTCTGTAAAAAAATCAATAAAATATATTTCTAAAAGAAAAAAAAAGAAAAGAAAAGCATGGGTTAGTTTCCCATGGACAATGCAATGCTAACTACTCCCTAATTAGAATACCTTGTATTATAACATAACTGCATTGCATTTGCCTGCATTCTTCCTCTATTGCAACCCCTGGGCATCCAGCACCAGGTCTTCTCCTTCATGTTTGAACTCAGTAGCATACTGTCTACTTATAATATCCACTCAATAAATGTATATTAAATAAATGTTAATTAAATACCAGGACCATACCTGAAAAACTAAAGAAGTGAGGATTCAAAATTTCTTAAGCTTTAGTAACCTACATATTATAAGACAACTATTCCAGCCAGAAAACACAACACTTCAATATTGAAAAGAACAGCAAGACATTTTTAGCCACTTAGGGGTCTGAATTTAAATTATGAGACAAAGATAATCAGTGTGAGGGCCACCATTTTCAAAGCTCAATGGCTGAAATAACACCAGTTCCTTCTCTCAGGAATATTCATTAACATGGAGCTGAGCTGCTCTGCTGTGCGGTTCTTGGCAGTCCTGCAGTGCAACTGCTCAATGATGGGAGATGTTAACTAATCACACTATAAAATAGAATTACAATTAATTGTTAATTTAGGTTTTAAAGTGACAAACTTTAAAGGCTAAAAATAGTCTTTGATCTTTAAAAGGCTTCTTAATGAGGGCAGTATACTTTAAGTACATCATTAGTTTAAATGTTCAAATTGGGTCCACTGGCTGCTAGCACTAAGCAAATATCTCTTCCAATATGTTAAATGTTTATGACTTAGGACATAGACAATTAATTGCTAATCAATGGGCTAAATCTTAGGTGAGGTCAGGTTCTGAAACAGGAGGATGACAATAGTAAATTGGATTTAGGGCTTTGTGATACGATCTGTGAAAATCACAGGCAAGTGGAGACTGAAAGAATAGCAGGAAGGCCAACTGACAGAAACACCCAGATAATTAAGATATTACTCATTTAGTTAATAGTGGTTTTCAAAGGTGCCCTTTGTTTAGATTAATGAGCCATAATTTTTAGAATTATACTTACATGTCTGCAGTTCAGTTACTTAAACATATAAATCAGGATATAAAATAGTAAAACTCAGCATAGCTTAAAGGGTGGTAATATCTGGTAACTAACATTAGCAATAGTCATAATGTAATTTCCAATATGATCTTGATCCATCAGGTAACACTTCATTCTCTCAAAATCCAGAAATCAAACCAATTTATTACTTTAAGCATCATCTCCCTAACAAGCATGCAAACCATCCATTGACATTGCAGACAGTTGCTAGCTGTGCTTATTTTGTGTGTTATCTATTTCTATATAATATTTTCACTAACCTTTAGTTCAGGTGAGAGACTCCAGAGACAGAGCTGACCCTCCTGACTTCCGGTCACAATTGTTTGCTGGTCATCGGTGATCATGATGGTGGTGATGCTGTGGGAAGGGGCCTTCTTCCCCCAGAGCGCGACTGCCTGCAGGGAGGACCTCATGTTGAGAGAATCCTGGAAACAGAGAAGGAGAGAAGTGTGCACAGTAATCAGTCTTAGATTCAGGAAACTGATTACATCGCAAAGTGGATTTATAATGAAACCAATTTGAATATGTTCTTCCAGAGCCATCCATTAGAGGGGAAGGTAGTCATGAGACACTTAAATGACCATGCTTAGTGTTAATCTGTCCAAGATGAATGACTTTTATTCCAATTCTTGATAACTGATGCTGATGAAGAGAAGAATAGACAATCTGTCCACTCCACACCCAGTTTTGCTGCTAGGTGATCCTGGCCTCTCCAAAATCCAGCTAGGCCTCTCTAGAATAGAGCTCTCAGCCTGGCCAGCATGGCTCAGTGGTTGAGCACCAATCAATGGACCAGGAGATCCTGGTGCAATTCCCAGTCAGGGCTTATGACAGGTTGCAGGTTCAATCCCCATTGTGGGGCGTGCAGGAAGCAACTGATTAATGATTCTCTCTCATCATTCATGTTTCTATCTCTCTCTCTCCCTCTCCCTTCCTCTCTGAAATCAATAAAAATATATTAAAAGTAATGAAAATTTAAAAATAAACTAAAAGAATAGAGCTGATTATAAACTATGAACTTGAAGAAGCTTTGCAGATTCTCTCTCCCCAGAAATGTCACCTCAACTAATCAACAATTATTTGAATTTTGCTATTAAAAAGTAAATATTTTCCATAAAACCAGTGTTTCCTAGTCATTAAAGATTGATATAGGACTGTCATGATTTTCATCATATTCATGTTCCATCTATACTACTTTAATAATTAATTTTTATTTGACTAAATTTTGTATTTGGTAACCTTTTTAAAGAGCAATTTTCATAAAATTGTTAGTGACAAATGTTAAAATGAAAACATAATTATCATTTTAAACTGTGTACCACCCAAAATGATCTGAAAAATCATCTAGTGATACGCACATTACATTTTGTGAAACATTGAGTTAAAAGTTTCTCCTCGGCCGAAACTGGTTTGGCTCAGTGGATAGAGCATCAGCCTGCGAACTGAAAGGTCTCAGGTTTGATTGCGGTCAAGGGCATGTACCTCGGTTGTGGGCACATCCCCAGTAGTGGGTGTGCAAGAGGCAGCTGATTGATGTTTCTCTCATCGATGTTTCTAACTCTCTATCCCTCTTTCTTCCTCTCTGTAAGAAATCAATAAAATATATTAAAAATAAATAAGAGTTTCTCCTCAAACAGGCATTCTTTTCAGAAATGCAAATAATTTGGGAGTCAATAATGCTTTAAGTTGACAGAACAAATTAGTAAGTTTTATCCTGTGACTTAGTAATATACACTGAGTGGCCAGATTATTATGATCTCTGAACACATAATAATCTGGCCATTCAGTGTATATCCTATATAATAAAAGGCTAATATGCAAATTTCCCCCTCTACCAGGAGTTCAAGCAGCAGGCAGGCCAGCCAACCATCCATGTCTCCTCCACCTGGCCAGGCTGGCCGGACCCCACCCATGTATGAATTCATGCACCGGGCCTCTAATACATACACACACACACACACACACACACACACACACACACATGCTGAGTGGCCAGATTATTATGCATTCAGGGAACTGGCCACTCAGTATATATCTCCTCTCAACAAAAATATCAAAGAAAAGAGAGGAGGAAGATACCAACTTTACTTTCCACATTTGGCTTGAGAAATTAAAAAAATAAAGACCTGTCTTGCAAGACCTTTGATACTAAATCCTTACAAGAGTAAGAACCAATATAAAATTTAAAAACCTGGGGCATGTTATTTAGAATGTTCAGTTACACAGATATACACACAGGCACATAACCTTGAGTACTCATTGACACCATGAAAATAAAATCAATATAGGCAGCACTTAGCTCAGTTACCTTCAAAATTTTATTTGTAGTTCATTTATTTGGGATTTAGTAACTAATTTCTCACGGCTCACTTCTTAGGCCAGCATACAAGAGTATGTAACCTATAATAGATCTGTACTAATCTTAGTACAGTACCTAAGCACCATGCAAACAAGATTTGTTTATAGGAAATGTTCTCAGCATTGCAGTTCAGTATATCAGTATCACACATTATTCCTAGTACTAAACTAACCCTGAGTTCTGGTTTCAATAACACTATAATCCCAACTTGAACCTCTTCTGCTTCAAACACAGAGAAGTAATGCTTTATAAAGGAAAAACCTAGCAGACACCACTTTAATCACATAATGAAAGTAAACAACTTCAGTAATGGGACAAAAATTCATGTGTCACTTGACAACCTGCAATGAGAAGGAAAAATGCAATTCTGTGATATTCCTACCAAAGATGCACAACCTGAATCTTATCATGACAAATACAAATTGAAAGACTCTCCACAAAATAATGGGTCTGTAAATTCAAACATGTCAAGATCATGAAAGTCAAAGAAAGAATAAGAAACTGTTCCAACCAAAGGAGACTAAATTATATGAACTAACTGCAAAAACCTTGTTCTAGACTGGATTCATTAGCTCTAAGAGACTCACTGGAATAACTGGTACACTTGAATAAGGTCTAAGGATTGAATGATAGTAATACTATATAATAAAAGCCTAATATGCTAAGTGTCTGGTCAGTTGTTCAACCAATCAAAGCATAATATGCTGATATGCAAAGACCACTTAATTGCTCCTTATGATGTGCACTGACCACCAGGGGGCAGAGAGTGAGCTGGTCAACCTGTTGCTACGACGTGCACTGACCACCAGAGGGAAGATGCTCTAACTGGTATGTCAGCTTGCTTCTGGGGTCCCGGACTGAGTGAGATAGGCCGGACAAACTCTGGAGCCCTCTCACAGCCCCTCTCCAGATGGCCAGCCTTTCATGTCTCTCTCCAGCCCTGATCATGCACCAGTGGGGTCCCTTGGCCTGGACTTTGCCCTCTCGCAATCTGGGACCCCTAGGGAGATGTTGGAGACCTAGTTTTGGCCCAATCCCACAGGCCAAGCCAAGGGACCCCCACTGGTGCCCAAATTTGTGCACCAAGCTTCAATATCAATATTAACTTCCTAGTTTTGAAGGATTTATTGTGATTGCAAGGGTTAATAACCTTGTTTTATATACTAAAATATTCTGAAAAGGGGGAGGTAATACTTAGGCAACTTCCTATCAAATACTTTTCATGAAAATAGATTTGTGTGTTATTCTTACTACTTGTTTGTGAGTTTTAAATGTTTTTAAAAGTAAGCCTTTGAGCTTCATTGTTCTCATCTGTAACGTGAGAATAACTAAACTAAGTGCAGGGTATACTGTGAGGATGAAATAAGAACATGCATACAATGTAGAACACAGAATGTACTCAGTAAATTACTACTGTTTTAATTCTAGCTTCCATATCTTGGAACAATAGCAACAGTTACTCAAAGCAAACTTCTTTGCCATTACACTTTTGATTCATTCAGATTCATATGAAATTCATTTCAAATTCACTAGATTTTAAATTCTCCTCCAAAGACAGAGACTTCTTTTTGACTTGCCCACTGCTATATTATGGGGACATAAAGAGGGTTTAGGACAGGCAGGTATTCAGTAACTATTTGCTGAACAAATGAATGAAAATATACATTATAATATGAAGACTCTCATCTGATAAAGTATCCACCCATGCAAATATGGATGGACAAATGTTTAAATACCTAAAAAAATACAAGGCATTTGGAGTTTAGAAAATCAAACAATTCAAGACATTTCATAGATTAAAACCATTGATAGTCATAGAAGTCTTAATATACAAATCAGAAAAGAAAAACACCAAGACCAAAGCCACAAGACATCATATCTTAACCAGAATTAATCCTGAACCCTCTGGATTGCTAAATGTAGTGGAAACAGATGTGGAATTCAGATACCTGCCCTAGGGTGGCTATTACCCTTGTGACCTTTATATCTAGATTATACAAGTAATATCTAGCAAAATGAAGTTACCATCACCTGTGTTGCCTACATCTCAGCTCTATTATGAGGAATATATTCAGAATGTAAATAAAAGCAGATGGTTATAATATACATAGTATGCTATCATTATATCTTGCACGTATAATCTAGAACTCAGAGCAAGAAGTGGCCTTGGAGATCATTAATCTAATCTCCATAATTTATAAGAAAACTGGCAATGAGAAATGTGGTCTAGATAACTATTAAGATCATTTGAGACTCTGAGACACTAAACAAATTGTGCGGTGAGAATGAGTAATTGATTAAAAGGATGCACATCTTCAAAGTCACTTTTGAAAAGGCTTTCTCTCTCATATTTTTGTAGCAAAATTTCAAAAATCATCCCAGAAATGTAGTGCCTTGCTAACAATAAGAGAGAGAGTAAATCCATGTGTTCTAAGACCCTGGACCATTCCCCAGAAATCTCTGATTTATACTAATAATAGCCTAAGTGGCATCACACCCTCACGTTGTCACAAGATGGCTGTCCATACAGCAGAGGAAGGGTCCAGCGGCCACTCTGCAAGGTGAAGCCTGGGGGTCCCGTGGCTCTACATGGCATAGAGGAGACCAGTCCCAGCATCTCCACCGTCTGGTGAGGAAGAGGGATGTCATACCATGAAAGGGTTGTTGGGGGTGATCAGGCCCCAGCAAGGGAGGGCAGTTGTGGGCAATCAGGATGGCAGGAAAGAGCAGTTGGGGACCATCAGGCTGGCAGAGGAGTGGTTAGGGGGCAATCAGGCTGGCAGGCAGGTGAGCGGTTAGGAGCCAGTGCTCCCATATTGTGAGAGGGATGTCCAATTGCCAGTCAGGCAGTCAGACATCCCCCAAGGGGTCCACCATTGGAGAAGGTGCAGGCTGGGCTAAGGGACATCCCTCCCATGCACAAAGGGAGGCCAGACTTCGGCTTAGGGAAACGGGCCTAAACCATCAGTAGGACATCCCCTGAAAGCTCCCAGTATGTGAGAGGTGGCAGGTTGGGCTGAGGAAACCCCCTCCCCACCTCCAGTGCATAAATTTTGTGCACCAGGC